GGATTCGCAGCACATCGATCTTGCCGCTTTGTGCGGCGGGGCAGGTGCGCGCGCCCACGTCCACTCCGATGCAACGCAGCCTTTACGCTTGTTAGCTTGGCGGCAGACAGGTTCGCTCCGTCTCAGGGATGTTCATCTATGCTTTTGATGCCCGTAAAAATTACGTCTTACCTCGACACATTTTCGACATTATCCAATTAGGACTGATTAATTATTCACAGTTCACTCTGTTTTACGTAGTTACTATTATTTTCTATTGTTTTCAGTCATACGTTGTTTTTTCTCGTGGCAATATGTTATTTCCCTCCTCTCACAACCTCGAAATATATGTATGTTTCAATCCGTTCACAGAGAACATCCAATAACTTTGAGAACCGATATCTGGATTTTTTGACGATAAATAACAGGAGGTTCCCGTGCGAGAGTGAATAAGCAGTCTTCCTGTGTACCATGGACCGTTGAATGCCCAATGCCACACGAAATATTATTTAGACACATTCCAAGGACGACGTTGCAATGGGAGGAATGTAAATGTGAATTAATTAGCATACATTTACGTTCCATTTCACTCAGAACATTTGCACGATTACGGCAATTTACATAATAACAATAAACGAATTTTCATTTGTCACGGACACCGCTCTTGACTTCTCACTGTTCACTCGCTCCGTATGCCCGTAAGCATGTCAATGGTCGTGCATCAGAGGCCAAGGGAAAGATTGTAATAATTCACCTGGCTTGACGCCAATGGAATTATAATATCATGTCAAGACATTCAAATATAATAAACGTGTTTTAGAACATTTCTTGAATTGCTTGCACGCTTGTTAAAATAATTCCGAAAAAACTTAAATCAGGAGTTCAATCATATGGTTCCGAAAAAAATTAAATAATTCCGAAAAAACCTAAATCAGGAGTACAATCATATGGTTCTGTTTTGTTTCTCCGAGAGTTCGGAAACAGCAGAGAAGCACCAACGCATGCGTGCTAGTGATTCGTCCGCTCCCCGCGCTTCGCGCGCTGGCTCTCCACCGCCCGCGGGGAAGAGCACAGCTGTTGAACGGTCGATTGAGCCCCTGCATCCGCTCCGGTAGACCGCAGCCAATCGCATTACGTACGGGTGGTCCGTCCGCTATGGCGAAAGCTGCCGGCCTCTTGGTCTCGTCTGCGCCTACCATTACACACGTTTTATCTCCAAGTT